ACACACACACACACACACACACACACACACACACACACACACACACACACACACACACACACTGTTGCACTGTGTGAAGGCCTCAGGTGCCAGCCTCAATCTTTTTGTGTATGTGTGTGGGTGTATGAACGAGACAATATTGCACCAAAGATAATATTAAAAACAAACCCGTATGTGGTCCTTACACAACAAATCACGCAGATGATGACAAAGCACTGACAAACAAGGCCAGAAACTGTCTACGTGCCAGCTGTTGGATGTCATGATGCAAAAGGGAATCTACGGAAGACGAACAGCTCCATCTATCCATATCCAACCACTACCTATGCGAACTTTCTATAGCTCACGCTCCAGCCTCTGTGGCTCTTGGTGTACTGCAGAGGGATGTATCAACTTTCATTCTCAGCCAAGTGCACCATCAAATATTCATGCCTGTGCTGCGTAGAGATGCCAAATACACATTTTACTGACGATTATTTGTTGTGTGTTCTCAGGAATGTATTACAAGCTTTTGATCACCGAACCACTGGAGAGAAAGCAGCAGTCTCGGAAAATGACTACGCAGCATGTCTACAAACTCTGGGAAAGCACATTAAGCACAACTAAAATAAGGTTTGTTTCAAGCCTCTCGTGATGTAGTCACACCTGCTGGCTAAACGAATGGTTTTGGCATGATTCCTAACAGCTGTTTTCAAAGAGGTATTCATTTGTGAACGTCTACTCACATCTGCCTCCTCCCTCACATTGTATTAATGAGGTAAATATGCTTATGATTCATATTTGTCATTGATGTGGAATGAAGTCCAGAATTGAAGACGGTAGTGTCGTGCTGTTTAGACCATTAGTAAAATGCTTAATCATGGTAGTAAATGCATTTACTAATTTATAAACACATCATCGATTTTACTGAGCTATTTGTTGTCTTTTTGGAGTGTTATAGTTTATGATGTTTTATAGATTGCTATTACGGTTTGCTCTACATTTCTTCTAAAGCTCATGGAATAGAGATACTAATGCATTCTAGTCTAACATGACTACCATCATAAACATATTATTTAAAAATTACGGTTTATATGTTATGTAAACTTAGCAGAAATGCCTATTTTTGCCTTGTTTTTTTCAACCAACATTAAAAATGGCAGAAAAAGAATAAGAATAGTGCATTTCTCCCACCTAAATATTGGGTTGTTTTGGCACTTGGGAAATCTTCAGCAAGTTGCATGTACTTTTTTTAGTGTCACTTACTATTTTGGTGACACTATTGGTGCTTTATTTCATGTTCTGCCACTGTACAGAATTATTTTCTAAATGATCATAATATTGTTATGATATATCACAGGTATATTAAGAGTCATACGGGTTTGAAAAGACATCAAGATGAATAAAAATGACATGATGAACTATCCCTTTAAGAACTGATCCACTTGTACAACACATCTTGGACAACACAACTTTCAGTCATGTCTGAAAAGAAATTAACTTGATCTATAAGTGAGATGTTTTAGTGAGCACTTGATTAAATGAAAGGTGCATCTCTTTGTTTGCAACTTTCATGCTATCTATGCTGTTTACAAAGAATAAAAGCTTTTAAATATGCCTTTTTACTGTATTATAGCAATTGTATTGAAATGTAAAACATTTTGAAAAACATTCACATGATAAGACTTTAATGGACTTGGTTTAATATTAATATGAACGCACACACACACACACACACACACACACACATGAACACACACATAAATAAAGTATTTGTTGATAAAGTAGAAACCAAACAAACATGGAACATGAAAATGAAACACAGAAAGGAGACTTTGAGAGATTCACCATGCGCTACGGTATATAAGAGCCAAAAGTTTTCACCCCTCTGATGCAACTGGCAAACCAAAAACCAATTCCAGCAAGGTGCCACTAATATTTCTTCTTTAATGAGAATAGTAAGGAATGGGAGCCGAAAGAGACATCAGTCAAGAGCAGGTGTTCATTCTGATGATTTATTCATGATGCAATTATGAGCTTCAACCAACATTCTGTCACAAGTGCAGTGACATTTCGACTACTATTAATTGCTTTATACAGTAAGTTTGGTAATCATGCATCGCTGAATGTCATTCAAAGATGCTCCATTTATATGTAAAGCAGATGGAAAATCTGACTGGTGACTGGTGCCATAACTGTGTCTTATCCTTAATAGTCAGATGGACACTGGCCATTGATGAAGACCGCAAATGTCAGGCATTTATTGCTCGGTGCATGGGGAAACCACTGATTTAGAGATGACTTCTTTCCGAAAGCATGACAAGTCTTACAAATGCCACAGAGGCTTAAAATCTTATTTTAGCTTGTCAGAGTATAAAGAAGTATAACTGGTGATGAGGTGGTTTGCTATTTTAAAGGTAATAAATACTAGCATAGGGTTTTGATTTTGGTGTGCAGGATTGTTTCCACCTTTTTATTGCTTAATTTTTTATAGATGTTTTGTTGTCGTGGCACAACAATTGATTCGATAAAAGATCTGATTTGCACTGAAGACTGCTGTGTCACACTTGGTTAGCACATGGAATAAAGCCGAAGAATCACATTAGCTGACTGGCTTAACCAGCAACAACCTGGTGTTTCATTAGCAGAACCGCCTAATTTTTTGCTGGTGAACAGCATGATTATACTGGTTTGTCCTGTTAGATTAGCAGATATTGTAGCCAAGGATGCACGTGGGTGGTACAAGGCAGAGGAGACCTTGTTTTACTAAGAAAAGCCAGTGTTAGCATACATTCGTTCTCTCTGAACAGAGCACAAACTTCACTCTTCACCACAATAGCAAACACAATAAAAAACAGAATCCTTTCTAAATGGTGACATAATGGAACATTAAGCAGTCACACATTTCCCCTGTTCATATCGCTCAAAAACACAAAGAATAACACTCAACTGTCTACTTTTATTCATGCCCTTTAGGCTCACGCAAAGCATGCTGGGTACTGAAAAATCTCCTGATAACACAATGTTACAATATGTTATTATTCATCCACGAATTCTTTATGGTTGCACAGTTGGAGTTGAAATGAACAATATGTCCATTTCAAAAATCCATAATAACAAACAAATAAATAAATGTTGTAGTAAATGAAGACTATTTTTTTTTTAAATAACATCACTTTCATAACAATGAAGCACACTTCCTCCCCAAACTTTTGGATGGTCCATTGCATTTGGACATTTTATAAAGTAGGCTATTTTTAACAAATTCCTTTTAATCACAGTGATTACTCTCATTAGATTTTCATGACTATAATGCAGTGTTTTTGTTACTGCATCACTTTTTTAGTCAGAGTTGTATAAATGAAAGGAGGTACACAACAATATACTACCACAATGTCTAAATCTAATAAATCCCTTTCACAATCACAATGACCTCTAATGAAATATTTAAGTAAAATCATTATATTTAATAGCCATTATATAATATTAATTACATCTCTGCACATAGGCTATTATATACAAATAAATTAAAATCATATAACATATGATACATTTTTTTTTAATTAAATTATTTAGCATTCTGATCATTTTAATGGGGAATATGCGTAATTGTTATGAAACAATGAAAATAGGCTTAGGCTATTTTATTTTATTTTGTGTTGATATAACCAGCACATGTCCCTGGCAGGTTTGTGAGTTCCCCCCCTACCTGTTAAAGTAATGTTTGATTCTCAAAGGGATGATTAGAGACTACATTTCTAATTGTGAAAGTTATTATGATTAACTGCTTGAGCATCATCACAGCTTCTTGGCAACAGCGTGGAGAAATCTATCCGCCCCCATCCTCTGATTTGTAACGCGCAGCTTTGACTTGATCCCCATTCAATACATTATCCAGACATTAAACTCCCAGCTGTCAGCATGCGAGGATTAATACAGCCATTATCAGCAGCAGCAGCAGCAGCAGCACAGCAACCATAACTTGAAAAAGATAATATTAGGATCTCACAATCGCACTCCCCTGGCACAATAAAACAGCGGGGCTCCTGGAGATGTTGTACATGAGACGGTAAACAAACAAGCCAAAGCAAAACCATTCTTATGCCATCAATATGCCCATAGTATTTCCAGACACCTCAAGCAGTTCAATTATGTAAGTATCACCCCTCCTCTGTGTTTAGCACCCAAGCATAGCCTAGGTCTCTGCAGCAATAGCGTTTTAAACGCATTGTCTATAACCGTTATATCAAAACGCCCACTTTTAAAAGCCGTTGAAGTTCGGAATGAATCATTGAGTCGTTTGTTGAATCCTTTCTTGTACGATATAATTGAGAATAGTTCATCAGAAGCGAGGTGAATATAACAATAGTGCGGCTTACCTTTCAAACACGTCCTGTGGTTTATGTCCGGTAGGATGCTTCTGTCTGTCTGCATCAGCACCAGCGCACACCGGGAGCGCCCATCCGCTCAGGGACCGTGTGGAAAGAGACACGCCTTCACCAAACACGAAAACGAAAAACGTTTGACTTTGTGTCTCTGCGTATCACCAGCTTGTTGGCATGAACCACATCTTAAAATGCTAGTTTTAAGTCTTAAGGCATGGTTTTACATGAATCAAACGCCGCACAAATAATTAAATAAACGTATCTGCTTGAAATAAGCATTGATTTGCACTGCCATCTGTTGGTGAACGTTATAAATGCACATTGTGTGGAAAACAGTATTATTCAGCGGCATACATATATAAATTATTTATATAAACTCACATAGTAATACAGAACAATGAATAAACACCTAAACATATCCATAACGAGTGTAGCTATATAGGTTTGACTGTTTTTCTTATTTCCAAAGGAGCTGGATGCTGTATCCACACCAACAGGCGGCGCTCAACTACTGAGACACGTCGCGAACAGATGCGCTCAGTTTTACGAAATTATAACTGATTTGCTTTTTCTGAATGAATTATAGGTTAATATCCAAGCAGCGTGAGTGAGGGATGCGCTCCTGTGCGGATACAGCGGCTCTTCTGGTCTAGCCGGCGTCAGGTAATAACCCAGCAATATCATCAGCAAGCTTCTGTTTCAAACAGATAAGATGCTTCAGGCTTTGTTGTTCCTTAATCTACTTGTCACGAACCCTGTCTGTAATATATACGTTTGTATAAAAATTTAAAATTTGATATGTAGGCTATTAGACCTCTGCGACCTATTTAGTTAATGCATCCATACGGTTCATCACATCTTTTCTCACTCCATTGTCTGAAAACAATGCATTTTAGCGTAATTATTACTAATAAAAACATGGTATATATATTTAAATCCTAAAGGGATTCTGTTCAGTGTAAGGTGGTAGTCTGCATAAAATTTTGAGGGTTTTATAGGGTTATGTAGGCTATCCGTTTCTTGATGATATGTTGTATACAAGCTGATGCATGCATTTATTCATACATTTTTCTGTTAAAATACTTTATCCAGCCACAGTTTAATGTGCAGAGACGAGAGACAAATTTTATTTATTCTTGAATATAAAGTGTAAACACTGTGGCTTCCAGAATTTCTTATTTTTTTGTTTAGTCCTACCAAAGACTATAGAATACCCCTACTTAGCACCATAGACTGAACCCATGGCGTGAGTTGGGTCTGTTTTTTTCCGACCAATGGAAGACGGGGGAGTTTTTGGGAAACATGTTTGAAATACACGTTATATCTGAAATTTCGTTTGGTTCAGATACACTGGAACACAAATTTCACACCTTGCCTTATTTACCCACGAAATTTCAAAAATAATTATTATTTCCAAACCAAGGAAGCCATCATTACAATTCATTTTGTTTGAACTTAATGAATTGGTATGAATTGGATACTTGTTGGCCGAGAAAAACTCTTTATTGACAGCCAGTTAAAATATTTACAGCATCATAAAGTATAAAGTATGTTTACAGCATGTCGTAACATATAACTTCCTTTCATAATTTTCATTCAAGTAGTGTTCATTTTCATAGGGATTAATTTCTTCAAAGGCCATCATGAAATGTATGATTTTATCATCTTCAGCTGAATTAATTTACTCAATTAAGACATTCTTTTATTAATCGAACACAGGCATGTTGTTCAGGATGGTAAAACTCAGACTACTCAACACGATTGCACCTGCATACTTCTACACTGCAACCGTGGTCACATTCGCCCTCCACTTCCTCCTCTTCATGCCCAATGTTTTCCGAAGTCCAGATGTGGCGCTAAATCCCACCATGCTGGTCCACATCACTGTCTTTCTCTTCCTCATGGGGAACGCATTGGGTAGTTACACAATGACTATATGGTACCCATCTGAGAGTGCCAACGAGACAGTAATTCCAGTCTGTTCACCCGACTGCCCGGACCGAATTGACGCCCACTACCTCCTGAATGGACGCAACTTCTGTAAAGTGTGTAAGAAAGTGATTCTAAAACGGGACCACCACTGCTTTTTCACAGGAAACTGCATCGGGAATAGGAACATGCGCTACTTTATTATGTTCAGCATCTATACATCCTGCTGTTGTCTGTATTCGTTGGTAGTCGGGGTGGCGTATTTTACAATGGAATACTCCATTTCCTTTGAGAACCCACTGACGTTCCTCACTCTTCTACCGCTCTCGACAGGTTACTTCTTCCTTGGTAGGTTTAATTTTGTTTTCTTGAGGCTTTCCTACTTCAAATATCCTTGATAAGAACATTCTTTCTTTTCTCCCCTCAGGTTTGATTTCAGGTCTCCAGTTCTTTCTGGTTATAATGCTGTATGTCTGGCTGGGTATCGGACTGGTTAGCGCCGGTTTCTGCTGTCAGCAGCTTCTACTAGTAGCCCGAGGGCAGACCTGGTGCGAGCTGCAGAAAGGGCAGCTGTCAGAGAGTCGTGGGACCTGGCTTGCCAACCTGACTGATGTTTTCGGTTCCCGTTGGGCTCTGGGCCTTTTCCTGCCAGTTCAGACTGTGGAGACCATACCTGGGAACCGGCAGGTCTACCATGATCACAAACATGACTGAAAAGCCAAGAACTTGCCATATCAGTGTGTTCATCATGATTTGACCTGTGTCGACCAGTTATTAAATGTGATACGGGCTTCAGTGCATGCAACTGATCTACCTTTTCAGTGGATTTCTGTCAACGCTGCACAAATTAGGACAGCGTTATGTCACAAAGAGGTTGTAACACCCATATCTATGTCTATCAGCACTGTGTTGAAACTCAATTTCAGCCCTAGTTCAGGGCAGCAGTGATTAGCAGCATCAGAGAAGGAGGCCAGGATTAAAGGTTGGATGGGTATTTACAAAACAACGCACACTAGGTAATCAGCACACTATTACACAAGCAGGGGTGTGTTTAGTGTTTTGGGGGCCCTCAGCAAGTGTCCTGGGTGGGGCCCCCCTCGGTGGATTTTGCGATCAATTCCGGGGTAGGGATGGGTATCGTTTACATTTTATCGATACCAATACGATACAATACGATAAATGATGTAAAAAGATGTTGAGAATTTCAAGTTATCTTATTACTGCAGTTTACAAATGACTCCAAGAAAACAGAAAAAGGCACATAAAGCACATTTTTTAAATAAAAAGGCCCTTCAGAGAGAAAGAGAGAGAGAGAGAGAGATTTCCTCAGCATACTATAGCACAACATATTTGAACATCGTGTGCATAGTGGTGGAGGGGGTAATTTTTAGACTTTTTGTTTTTTCAAAAATATGTAATTAAATGTTTGATCATGCTGTATATTTTTTACAATGGGGCAATTGTTGAGTGTGCATGAGCACACAGAGAGCGCACGAGTGCTGAATGGTTTAAATACTGGCCAAACTCAAAAAAGAAATGCAAATTATAAACTTTAGTGACGATGCATGTAAACTGTGACAATTCCTGTCTCAATCGTGCAGTGTGCAGCTCGCTTATAGTGCAGATGCGATGTGGTGATATGAAGCCATTTGCGCATTTTGAGAGGGAAAGACAGCTCGCGGAGAACTCGTGCTGTTTGTAAAATTACGCCTCACAGAAAGTTTTCAAATTATTTTGTAAGTTATTTAATGAAGAAATATGAATTCTACCTCACCTTCAGCATTATAATTATTTTACCCGCGCCAGGTGTCCTGACATTTTATCCTACCCGTCAGATTGTCCTACCAGGGTTTACTGCGCATGCGCACATCAATATCTATCGCGTCCTTTTTCTCATGCTGAACAACAATATTTAGTGTATCTGCATTACTGTAAGGGTAGGTTTAGGGTTGTGGTAGGTGTAGACCAGGGGTCACCAAACTTGATCCTGGAGGGCCGGTGTCCTGCAGAGTTTAGCTCCAGCTTGCCTCAACACACCTGCCTGCAAGTTTCAAGTATACCTAGTAATACCTTGATTAGCTGGTTCAGGTGTGTTTAATTAGGGTTGGAGCTAAACTCTGCAGGACACCGGCCCTCCAGGACCGAGTCTGGTGACCCCTGGTGTAGACGTTAATAAACCATAATTTTACAGGTAGCATTTTTCGTTGTCGAATTGTACTACCCACTGTTTTAATGGGAGGTAGCAAAATCTGACAGGGTAGCACAAATCGACGGAACACCGGACAGAGATTATAAAACGGTGCCGCTGCATGTCATGCCAAACCTCTCACGGCAGATCGGTTTATGAGAACAGCTTCTAATTCGCCATTAACACAGAAGTACGCAACACACGCAACACACGTATCGATAACAGTATTGTTTGTCCTGAAGCTTATCGGTAGTCCGGTATTGACCCAATTTCGCCAATTTTGCTACCTCCCATTAAAACAGATGGAAGCATAATTCGATAGCGAAAAGTGCTACCTATCAGATTTTGCTTCCAGCATGATATTAATACGGTGTGAGGCTTTATTAACATGTACACCTACCCCAACCCTAAACCTACCCTTACAGTAGGATAAATACAGTGTTGGTAGCTAATCTGATTGGTAGCATTATTTGTCAGAACACCGGTTCTGGTGGACTCTCATCGGAAGAATAGAAATAGCGTTCCGCGGGGGCCCACGCAATTGCGAGTGAGTACACAAATGGCCTGCTAAAATGTGGGTGACATTTAGTTAGAAATTGAATTGAACTGGCCACACACCACAGGAAGTTCAATTGTAATTTAAATAGAAATGTACTTGCAATTAAAAAAAGCACAGGCAATGCATAAATACTAAAACTGAAAAAAAAGAAAAAAACTATAAATCCTTTGGAGTTAATGGCTTAAAACTTTTGGCTTTTTTGAATGAAATTAATACTTTTATTCAACAAGAATGCATTCAATTGACATTTAGAATGCAACACAAGATTTCTACTTTAATTGCTGTTCATTTGAACTTTATATTCATCATCCTTATGGTTTACACAGAAATATTATAGCAGCACAACAATTTTCAACGTTGATAATTTGGAAAGTTATTTTAAATTGTAATGTTATCATAATACTACTGTTTTCACAGTATTTTTGATCAAATGAAAGCAGCCTTAGTGAACAAGTGTGTCTTCACATACTCAGCATTTCTATTTAAACATTGCAGTCATATGAACTTCTTTGAATTCCAATTATTTTAATACCACTTCCATTCAATATTCAAATTTCTGAAATTTAAATTCATCCTGTTTGCTACCTCAATTCAAATTCCTTTCAGTTAATTTCGACTGGACCAGAATTCAATTTTCAGTTCATTTCTGAAAAGCACACATGTACTTGATACCAACTTAATTTTTCTAAAAATGTGTGATGTTTCATATCTTTAAAAAGTTATTGGTCATAACAAATGTATTTAAATATTATAATTACTTATTATTTTAGTAGTTATAAAACCATTTAAACAACATGATAAAACATTTAAACACAATAAAAACATTTTATTATACTTGATTGCAGGATCACATTCTCTTACTTACAGTAAATGGCAGATATCGTGTGGTTTTTTTATCATTAAGGCTTGCAGAAAGCATTTTGAGTTTGGTGCTATATTAACATTTCTTTTTACATTTCCCATAGAGGACAGATTAACTAAAAAATGTTGATTTACAGCACGATCAAACCAAGCAGTAAATATGTGCTAATTTTTTTCTTTGCGATCTGTCCAACATGGACAATGTAATTAGTAATAATGGAGGGTCACTGTTCTGTAACCCTCTTATAAAATCCACTATTAAGTTTAATTTCAGCGTTTCAATTATTATAAGTGCACGCTTACAATTGCTCTGCTCTCAGTCCTGTTTGAGGTTTTGAAACATGGCCCTCAACATCCTTTGGCTGCTGTTGAACTGAGCATCATATCTTATCAAAATATCCTTCACGTCCATCTTGACTGGATCAGATGTCTATGCTTGGTTTAGATGCAGGTTAGTTGTTCAGAAGCTGGAGTTTATTATGCTATCACAGCTAAGATGATATTTTCATATAATCAATTTCTACCACCTTTTTAGTGTTATACTGTTGTGAATTAATATTACGTTTCTGTATTTGATGCATGAAAAACATGGCATGCAATGATGATGAACATTTTCTGTTGATGAATGTTTTTCTGTGATTGATTTATTTGTAGCTATATTTAGGTTACCACCAATATCTTTATATAAAACGACTTTAACCAAAACACAACCTTAAGGGCTTTCCTTGGAGATCAGCTTCAATCTTAAAACACGTTAATCTATGATTTACTGAACAAATTGTTCAAACTTAAAATAACTAATAACCAGGGCACAGCTTGAATATATATTTAAAATGCCTTTATTTGATGGCACATAAAAAGTCAAACGACACCTACAGAATACAAAACTGCACTTCAGTACAATGCTAAAAATAAACAAGACTATTGCATAGATTTCTACAGCAAAAATGTGTCATTTAGTATCGGGTTCTGATAAATCAACACAATGTGTTTATATTTTTGGAAAGCAAATACAAATGCAAACCAGAAAACAACAATAGAAAAAGAAAAGAACATTTGTACAGCAAAGTACACTTGCACAGTGTACATGCCATCACATTCATTCAGTGCATTCATTACTCCACTAAACCTGGCCTCTGTCATCAAAGCTTATTAGTCTATACATGCAGTATAACAGATTGCTACGAAAAAAAAAAAATCATTCACATCCAGACCTAACGACAATTACAACCTCCATTAAGAATGTAAACAACTCACTTAATAATACAACAAAGCATTACAAATAACAACCACATTTGAAGTGCTACTTCAAATACATTCTGACCAGAACAAACGGTTATTACTACCCTTACTCTTACCGTCCATTGGTCTTTCTGTCTTTCTCATAGATAACAAGAACTTTTACTTGGAGATGCATTTGAAAACACATTATACACGTACAAACAATATTATTACAAACACATTTCTACAAATTGTCAAATATTCACGAGGATGATACTGAATTTCACATTTTCATCTGAATAAAAAAAATGATTGTGCACTTATACTTAAGTACTCATATCTTCATTTGTTAAAGGCCTTTTTTAGTTACAGTGATTAGAAAATAACTGTTTTCCATTTTGTTTGATTCTGAGCAGAATTTCGGTTCTGGTTTACCAAGGCCTCCTTTCCAAATAGTAACCAATTAGATTGAAATACTAGAACGGTTAATAGCGTTCTTTTCAAATTGAGTTTGCTAATAAATTCTGAATCACTATCACTTTATTTAGAAAAAGGTGCAACTGTAACCTAAACACTGTCGTTATATACTTTTGACACAAGGATAAAGATGACTACTGTTGGATAGCTAACGCTTGGAGTGATAACTAGATCTCTGGACTCTATTGAAGACTCAAATCTTTGATGTTTCCTACTGATATTATAACAAGATGTTGAAAATTTGCTAAGCGACTGATTAGAAAAGTGCCGGTTGGAGCAAGAATACAACAGCTGAAATAATAAAATCCGAACCTGCTACTACACCATACAACCCACATCTGTGATATCCTGCTCTGCACCCCTTACAGAGTCCACCAGTGAGTCGCTGTTTCCAGAGTTCTGGAGGATAAGCTGCAATCTCATCCAGACTTTGGGATCTCCACTACATATGGCCTCCAAGAAGAGGTCAGTCTGAGCCTGCAGACTCTGAAGCTGGGCCTGGGAACGTTCATTTTGTCGAATAAGTTCCTTTGTGCGCAGTGTGATACCCAGCAGGCCTGACCGATTCAAAATGTTATAGGTGTTGCAGAAGCGTTTGCGTTTGCTGGAGCTTGGAGAGAGGGCCTCTGGGATATTCTCCACATCACTGCTCTGGGTGACTGAAGCTTCGGGACTCTTTTGAGGGAATGAAGCGAGGAAGGAGTCAGTGCACAGTGAGAATGGTGAAGTGGTGTGGGGCTCCTGAAGGTCAGAAAGCCTGGATGAGGAGTCTTCCACAGCTACGTCTTCAACAGCGTGACCGATTTCTCCCAAAGAAGCAATGTTGGGGTCTACATCGTAATCTTTAAATGTCTCGGACACATCCTGTTTCAAAGAGGAAGTGTGGAAAGGTTTTTCATCATAACGGCGTCGTTGATGTCTTCCAGCATGACTGTGGTTTGACCTCTTATTGATAGCACTGGGACCCTCGTCGACTATAGACCCTTGTGCAATTTTTGGAAAGGTGTTTTGCATGGGAACATGCTTTCTGGAATGTTTCTGCTTGTCAGAGCTTTGGCCGGTACAGTCACCAGCTGGCATGACTGGCTGTAGGAAAAGCAGCTGGGACTGAGGAACCACATCTAGTGAAGTGTTTAAGCCCCAAGGTTTTAATGCAGGGGCCACGGAGTTACGCTGAAACAAGAATTATCAATGAACATTTTTGTAAAACAGACACATACTCTTTAGTTCTCATTCACAATAACAGGAGGAGTCAACAACGAGTCAAATGTTTTTCAGTCTTATTCAATAATAGATTCAATTAATAGTTTGTCATTTCTGAATTAAAATGTATTTATTCAAATGGATTATTTTAGGGGGACACGCAAGTAAAAAATGTCAAGGTGATGCAACTGTCTTGGTATCAAAATCAGATCCTCATGTTTGTGTGTCAAAATTTTTTTTTTAAACAACATATTATTTGACTTTTGCCAAAGTTAGTTCAGGTTGTAATATGTCATATGGTGACAATTATATTTATGAATTAATAAATCATAATATTTGCACAAAAAATTATATACACATATATATCCATTTATATATATCTATATATATATATATATTAGTGCTGTCAAACGATTAATCGCAATTAATCGCATCCAAAATAAAAGTTTTTGTTTACATAATATATGTATGTATGCTGTGTATATTTATTATGTATATATAAATACACATAAGCTCTCACAACTCCAGGTGAAAAGAAAATATATCATTTCTTTTTATATGATGTTACATGACATTTTTCAAAACCACATGAAAGTACATTTTTATATAATGTATGACTAGATTTTTCCTTTTCTTCTTTGCAGATACCCTTATGTCATTGACCCAGCTGCAATATTTATAAAACGATATTTATAGTAATCGCCTCATTCAGGTATGCAGCATGTTTTCGCTTGCTAGCTCTGATAAGAAGCAGCAGCAGGCATGAAATGCGCAAGCGCAATGATAGCACATCTTGTGTGTATGGAAAACAGCTGTACACACAAGAGGCAATATCGAACGTGATCAAAGCCTGTCTCCTATTGCGTATCATAGAAACATTTAATTATCCACACCAATAAATTAAATTAGGTTCGGTGAGGAAACGTGTTGTGAAATATCTCACCTTATATCAATATCCCAACTGAAAGGGTAGGGAAAACCTGCTCTAAATGGTAATTCAAATGCCTTTTCGCTATGAATAAATCACTGTTTTTGATTTAATATAGCATATAACATATAGATTTAATGAAAATTAAGATTTGATACATATAATATTAGAAACACATTTTTTGTCTACTTTGAGTAAGGTACATAAAAACACATAGATCAGTTAAAATAATTTACAGATGTCCTATACAGCTTATTGTTGGTTAATATTTTGTGAGCCAAAGAAACAGCTGTACACACAAGAGGCAATATCGAACGTGATCAAAGCCTGTCTCCTATTGCGTATCATAGAAACATTTAATTATCCACACCAATAAATTAAATTAGGTTCGGTGAGGAAACGTGTTGTGAAATATCTCACCTTATATCAATATCCCAACTGAAAGGGTAGGGAAAACCTGCTCTAAATGGTAATTCAAATGCCTTTTCGCTATGAATAAATCACTGTTTTTGATTTAATATAGCATATAACATATAGATTTAATGAAAATTAAGATTTGATACATATAATATTAGAAACACATTTTTTGTCTACTTTGAGTAAGGTACATAAAAACACGTAGATCAGTTAAAATAATTTACAGATGTCCTATTAATATTTTGTGAGCCAAAGATGCTGAGCAGAAAGCACTGGAAAGTATTCAATCCAAGAATCACAAGGCAAATGTCTGTAATGAGCTATAACTACCAACAAATTTAGTAAACATAGCTTTGAGACCAAAACAATACCGTAACTGCAACAAACAGTTATGTGTCATGAGCTAAAGCTTTTCCAGAAAAGCAACATAAAGAGACATGGAGACTTACAGAAATGTGTCATACCTGCTTGAGAACAAGGTTGTTCATTACGAGCATGGGAGAGATGCCTGGATGTGAGCCAGGAATGAAAGACACCTGAGGAGCTGCCGGCATGCTTTGTGCTGCAGTACTGGTTGGTCCTATGTCTTCAAATTCTGTCTGGTCCAAAGCACTAAAATATCCTGAGCTGGCATCTACAGTGAGAAAATATTGTAATATGGTAAGGGTAAAACCCAGTAATTATGTGCAGTTATACACCTATAACAATGTAATTATAGACAATATTGTATAAATATAATCAGTAATGGGGGATTAGTAATAATCATACCAAAGCATGAGAGAAAGACAAGTACTGTCACCATATTTAGCTTAAAACCATAATACTTACACAGAAAAAAAAAACAAGGGCTGTGAAATCTACTTTCTCATGTAAGCTGAGAAATTAATAATACACAACAGAACACAAAGCTGGAAAATCTATAAACGACAAACCTGAATCTCTGTCGATCTCACTGGAGGCTTTCCGTTTGTTGCCCATGTTGGATCTTCTCTGGTGGTCCGATTTGTTGGATTTCAGTCCATCGGTACAGCCCTGATCCAGGCAATGACTGAGAGCAGGACAGAGTCATGGATTAAATAAAGGAAAGTCAAAAACCTGAAAGATGATCTAGTGTAACATGAGCACATTTAAGACTCAAGCCAATGAAATGCAGCTCCTACTCACTTATAGACCAAATATAGGGTTTCTCACACCCAAAAAAACACACTTTATCATGAATTAGCAAATATTACTATGCAAAGTTTCTCATAGTAAATAAACAGCCCATGAATGAATCATAAGCAGAGACTGAGAGAGTGCTATGAAAACAAGTAAACAAGTCCACGAATATAAGTGCTAGCCTTATGCACCCTCATACAGAAAAAAAAAACATCTTAACATCTTAAAATACAGCTTGGCAACCACAGTGGCACCTTGTTTTAGATCTTGTATTGAATAGTTTATACATACAGTATGAAAGGAATCTGAATGTCGCGAACCCGCTACTGCAGCACCTGATACACGGTGCCAAACACGAGACTCTCCCATAAACACACACTACAGCACAAAATGCACGTTTTCCCTTACTTACCGAGAACAATTCTCCTCAAACTCCTTCTCTTGTTAAGGCTTGTGTATGAAATGACGCTTGACGAGAGAAAACTAAGCTTATATTTCTGTTGTTTTGGAAACTGGACTGCACAGAGAGCAACGTGAGTTTACAAACAGCTCCGCCTTCTCGGCTGCCTTAAATGGCTGTTACCAGGGAAACCGCCGAATCGTCACTCGCTTAACTATGCAAGATCCGCCTTATATTTACATATCGCCTTCTGATTGGTGCAGAGATGAACCCTTGCGACTGTAAACGTGACTCGGAAGTGTGGCGTGAAATCTGCACTGCAGCGTCAAGAGTGAATCTAGCACGCGCTGCAGCGTCATCCTCTCCATCCCATAATTTTTAATGTATAAAAAATGTAGTTCACAGAATGAAAGCCACGTAACAAACAAAACTGTTGTTGTTTTCTACGCAATTCAAACGTCAATGACACGCAAAAAGTTTGCTCCACAATTCTCTCTCTCTCTCTATATATAGAATTATTATTATTATATTACAATTATTATTTGAACCACATCTTTTTATTTATTTACTTATTTATTTGCCATGTCCACAAGTGCTGTAAATTTTAAAAACAAATTTATTAAGAAATATTAGGTGTTCCTCCTTTCTGAATGTGTCCAGATGGCCCTGAATTCACTTGGAAACTGATCCTTAAGATCTTTGCTTTCATAGTCAATGGAAATATTAAACACAAATGAATTTCCACATGCCCTAAAGTACATAGATTTTGGCAAAGTGCAACAACCACAGAACTGCCCTCCCAACAGGCTCAGAAAAGTCTCTTGAGTAGGCCTATCTTCACTAGAACTCTAACCCCAGCAATAGTCACGCGACAAAAACGACATCAGTTCTACTATTCATTGCCAAAATATATATTGCATTAAAATGGAAATCATATACATCAAATCAATGTGAACACTGGATACATGAAAAGAGCAAAACCTAAGAAACACAAACATCATTCTAAAAACGTTTCATTGGGTTTACTTACTGTTTTATTGAATTTCTTGACTATATGAAGAACATGACACCAGTGTTGGGGGTAACGCATTACAAGTAACGTGAGTTACGTAATCAGATTACTTTTTTCAAGTGACTAGTAAAGTAACACATTACGTTTTAATTTACAAGAGAATATCTGAGTTACTTATTTCACTTTTGGTGTGAAAAGGCTTTTATATTTGCCAAAAATAGAACTTTTTTTATTTTAAAAACAAACAAGCAAGCCCTGTCCAGATTTAAAAAGTAACGCAAAAGTAACGTAACGCATTACTTTCCATAAAAAGTAACTAAGTAACGTAATTAGTTACTTTTTTATGGAGTAACGCAATATTGTAATGCATTACTTTTAAAAGTAACGTTCCCCAACACTGCATGACACTAGACTTTCCAATTCCCCTTAAAAAGAAACACTTATGCTTTAGTTTACTACTGAAATCAAATGGGATATGTTATTAAACTGACTTTTAAACTACATTTAAGCCGTATTTTAAATTCTATTTATGTTAACTGTAATGTTCAATATTTATGTTAATTGTATGTCATCATGCAATTAATAAAGTGAAACCTTAGTAAGTTTTGTATATGACATAAATCATAGACAAAAACCCATTCCATTCTTTGACCAAAATCACACACGCACACACAGGCCAAGTGTTTCAGAAAATATTTTTTTAATAATTATCAGAAATAACAAACAATAGTCACTCTATTACGAAAGGTACTCTTAAAGTTGTATAATATTAATACATATTAACAATATTTTGAAAAACATACAACATTTTATACATTGGGAATTAAATAGCCCTTTGGTGAAAACTATTGTATTTATATTTAGGGTCAGCAGCATAGATAATAATGCTTCTTTGGTTTAATTTCGACACTTTATAGACCTGAGTCTAAAGTGTGGGAAATTCAGTCATTTTCACTGACAGAACAATAATACAAAGCACCAACATTCACTCATATCGTGATGAACATCTGTCTCGGTTCCTGTTGACTGGCCCTTTCAGAGCAAAGTCTTTGTCCTTACACAGTGCACACTTTTATTTTTGCCAAAGTTGAATTATTATAGTAATATATATCATAATGGGATGGCTTTCAGATCAGTATTAGTTGAAAAACACTTACTGAACGTGATTATTTTATTATCACCACTAGAGGTCAGTATGTCAATTTAATGCTGAAGTCACAGAGAAGCTTTAGAACGTCAACAGAAAATACTATGTATTAAAAATCTTCTAAGACGGGTTTCACATTAGTAAATTGTAATATAGTCATAGCATAGCAGTAATATAGAATCTAAAGAGATGATATTTGGCATTTTGTTCTGTGCTTCCTTCTAGATTTATGACCAAATACACAATGGCTTTGTAAATGTATTGATGAATGAAATGCACCAGTTTTACTTCAGTGGATTTTAATAAATAAAAGGGGAAGACTTGGCAGCTAAACCAGTACTACCACTATTATTACTTTATGACTTTCACTACTACTATTATAAAACAATAAAATAATAATAATAATATAATAACATAAGTCCCTAGGGGTTTATTCAGTCTCGGATTTTAGGTTTGGTCTTCGGTTGTTTTTCTTCTGTAGAGAGCTGCAGAACAGGAGTTTCCTGTATAGATGACTGGAAGGCCCCCCGTGTGCTGACAGAAGCCCCATCACCATATCAACTCTGCATCTGGGATGTGCTGGGGTGCAGAGCAGTGGCAGTATCCATAAGTGAATGATGGTGACAGTGAGGGTCGCACAGAAGGGGGCAGATGCGCGCGATTGGCTGGCATCATGGCGAGACAGCATTTACCTACGGGGAGGCTGACACCTGTAAGAGAGCACAAATTAATACATGTGTGCCGCTTATGCTCAGAGAACAATGCACTCTTTGTACTCTGTGTCCTTTAAGTACATCAAAAACCCCTGCTCTTATCAAAATGTCACTGAAATGTTGAGACTTCATTACAGAACCTAGAGGGATGAGGTTCCTCATGAGGTTATATATGAACTAACTGGTTTTAATTGCAAAAGTTTATATGACTGAATCAACCAGACTACATTAGTATACACCAGTGGTTCTTAACTCATTAGTGGGCATCATTAAACTTCTAAAGGGGCCTCAAGATTACTTGAAATGATTTAAAATAAAGTCAAAACAAACATTAAGATTATAGCTAAAATGACTAAAGATATTTCCTATTTTACCCTCTCTTAGTTTCTTAAAGTTTTTTTTTTGGAACTCGCAATAAAATTGTGACTAGACTTGGAAAAGTCATCTAAATTGATAAAATATTATAAAACTATTTTTAAACATTTTATGCATATACTTTCTTTTTCTAACTATGCTAAGCTAATATTTTATTACGCGTTGTGAGATGTGTACATCACAGAGAACTAGAAGCCTTTAAATATTGCTCTGGACAATGAGGGCCTTTAAGAAGGACAAGAACATTTTTAAGGGTCAGGTCAAGTAGAGGTTCATTTTTACTAAAAAAAAAAAAAAAAAAATTCGGTAATACTTTAGTTTAGGGACCAATTCTCACTATTAACTAGTTGCTTATTACTATTAGCATGCATATTACTAGCATATCAGCTGTTTATTAGTGCTTATAATTTAAGCACATATGCATAATATATGTTTATATTTAAGCACATATGCATGACCATATTCTACATCCTACATAATAACTAACTTAAGAACTACCTTATTAAGCAGTAATTAGGAGTTTGAGGCAAAAGTCGTAGTTAATAGTTAATTAATAGTGAGAACTGGACCTTAAAATAAAGTGTGACCAAAAAAAATTAATCAAATATGGTAGATGCTGATAACAAATATTTTTAGATTTCATTCTGTACAGGAAAGTTTAGTTCAAAATGAGTTCAGTCCTCTTAAAAATAGACTGTTACTTAATTTCTGAGTGTATTTTGTGCTTATCTATGCGTATTAGAGTATTGAATTGTTAGCTTAGCAACATGCTAATGTAAAACCATCAATATTTAACTTACGTGTCACAATCTTTCACTCTCTTTTTCTCCTTCCTTTTTCTCCCTCTGTTTCTGGGTTTCAATCTACAACAAAATGAATCATCATTGTAATTTCAATTTGCTTGTCTACTAAAGTGTAACTGCGTCAGAGTAGTAACTTGTTACCTGTCTTGTTTCTTTGTAGGTTTTCTTAGTCTTGGCATCACAATGTAAGAGAAAGCAGAGAGAAAAGCGGAGAGACTATTACGAACACATTTTTCGTACTTGATACAAATTTTAAATTCAACATTTATGTTCAGTATTCATATCTACAATATCAATACAAAGCTGTGTCACAATGCAAAACATGTGGTTGCATGAACAAAATTGATCTCTTCCTTACCTACATTCACAGGCTTTGTGCTCCACAAAGGTCATCTCCACATATTCCTGGCCCTGCTCCGCTGGCTTAATCTTTAATAACTGAAAAAGTCATAATATTAATATCTATAGCAACCATGTGCCTGACACAGACAAAACAAAGTCTCCCACATAGATATTACTTTAGTGAAAAAGCATCCAAATTGAAAGTCCAAACAGTCGATATATAAAAGTATGAGCTAGTATTCATAATTATTGGTACCATCTTTTGTGCTACTTTTGAAACAGTAAATATTGTCGGCCTTGATGAATGAAAAATCCTTACTTGCATGGTGGTGTTAGAAGTAAGTGTAGGGTGACACTCCAGATTCTCATCTCCACAGCAACCAGCGCAGCGGACCAATGGCACGCAGGCGGGGCTGAAAATGTGCTCCACCTCCCCAGGGTACTCCTGAACCACTTCCACTAGCTTCTCTATAGTGCGGCAGAAGCTTTTCCCCCAAACCTCTTGAAACAGCATCACTGCAACACAGCAAGAGAAATACAAGGCATTGACCTTTATAAGTGTGCATGAATATACAAGAAGAAATTACTGAGCATTTGGAAGCAATCACTGAGCAAACTATGAACTGATTAGTGAGTGTGAGATTTATCAAAATGCTAGTAACTCATTTGAGATGAGATTACTATATCTATATGCCACATGATCCACATTCAACAATAATTCTGTTATGACAATTCTTGGAGTTTA